TGTCCACTTCTTCTCTTTTCAACTCTCTCTCAAGTCTCAGTGCATTATTCTTAGCCATTTGCTCCAAAAATTGTGCACATTCATTTTTCGAAGTGCTCCCTTTCTTTGCCTTTGCCGCCTTTCTCCCAATAGGTCTTGGCGCACGTGGGAGTGGTGAGTCTTGATCCATTGGGGAGTCCAATGGCGAATCGGTTGTCGACGAATCGTGGAGCGGCGTCTCATTCAACACAACCTCCGGAACAGTGCAAATGATTTTGAATCTCGAACAATTCTTCACAATTTCCCAACATTGGTGACTTTGGAAACTTTTTTTGCCTTGTCCCGTGGCACCGAACCACATTTGTGCTTGTATGATCTATTCAAAATAAATAATTGGAAATGCAACCAAAAAATGAATATGGAAGAAAATATAAATAATTTGGAATTGCAAGAAAAAAATTGATTATGCAACAAAATATAAACAATTTAGAAATGCAAGAACTAAAATGATTATACAACAAAAAAAAAAATATGTAAGACAATATAAACAATTTACAAATGCATAAAAAAAAAAATTATTATGCAACAAAATATAAATAAATTAGAAATGCAAGAAAATATAAATATAAATATTTTACCTCATCGGTAAGATTTTGACCGCTTCTCATGTTGTCCTTCGCTTTTTTCAAGGCATCCCTCCATTTCCCTAACTCTTTATGCAAATTCTACATGAATTTTTCTCCACATATGAGAAAACTTCATCTCATTGCCTGTTATAGGACAATGACTAACTTTCACCCAAGACTCACACAACACAATATCTTCCACAGTAGTCCAAGAGCCTCCGACTTCGACAGAAGAGGCCATTTGTTTTTTGATACAAATGGAAACTAGTAGAAAAATGTGAGTGAAATGTAAAAAATATTTGAAGGAGAAGAGAGAAGAGTGTGTATGAATATTTGGTGTGGAAAGTGAGTGAAATGTAAAAAATATTTGAAGGAGAGTGAGTGGAAAGTGAGTGAAATTGATAGGTATTTATAGGGAAAAAATTCAGTATTTTATGGTTTTTTTAAAAAAAAATTTCGACTTTTTTTGGAATTTTTTTGGCCAAAAAAAAGAGGCCCGTCAGATTTCTGAGAAAAAAGCCATCGCAGCGCCCAGGAAGCGCCACGTGGCATTTTTCCGTTGGGCCCTGTCTGGCGCTGACGTCAGCGAACGAAAGTCAAATTTTTTTACCGTTGGCGCGTGAATTTCACACGCCAACAGTAAAAAAATTTGAACTTACCGCTCGCTGACGTCAGCGTGACGTCACGCCTGACGTCAACGCCTTCCGTGGGACCCATGCCTTGCCCGGGCCATTTTTCTTCCACTGGAGCATCTTTGGGCTGCCTTGGGGGGCCTTTTGCCCAGTCTTGTGCCAAGGCTGGAGATGCTCTAAGGCCATCCCCAATGGGGGCTCTATATGGGGCTCAACCACCACAAGGCTCCAATATATACAAACCCTCTTTAAAAAGGCATCCCCAATAGTGCAAATTTGGGGCTCTAAAACTTAAAGCCCAACTGGAGTAGTAGCTAAATGTATGACCTTGGTTGAAGCTAGGGCTCGTCAATGGGCCGGGCCGGGCTAGCCCGGCCCAAATTTAATGGGCTTGGGCCGGGCCGGGCCGGGCTGGGCCAGGTTTTTTTAGAAAATTCAAAGCCCAAGCCCATCTTATAAGCCGGGCTTGAAAAAGTCCATTGGGCCGGGCCGGGCCGAAATGGGCCTAAAAAATAATAAGTTTAAAAAAAAAATTATTATTTTTTATAAAAATGGTATAAATAAATATGCAAATATTTGGTGATGTGTTAAAGAAAAGTATGATTATATTTGGTGGTATGATTATGTTTGGTGATATGATATGTTGTTCGTCTTATTATATATATATATATATATAATATATATATATATATAATTGTTGTATTAATAAATGACACAAATTAATGTGCTAATTATCCAATTAAAAACTAGGAATGAGTAGAATTCAATAGAAACACAATTTTTCAAACAAGTAACACACACACACACAAATTAAAGAGGGGGATTTGTCATTCAAGTGATGTAATCCTAATCCTAAACTCTTATTTATACATAATTATATATGTATGCGGGCCTAACGGGCCGGGCTTTTATGGGAGGGCCGGGCCGGGCTTTTATGGGCTTAATCGGGCCGGGCTTATGGGTCGGGCCGGGCTTCAAACACTCAAGCCCAAGCCCAGCCCAAGCCCAAGCGGGCCGGGCCCTCTCAAAGCCCATAACGGGCCGGGCCGGGCTTTTTTCCGATGGGCCGGGCGGGCCCCCATAAGCCCATGAGCCCGCGGGCCAAATGATGAGGCCTAGTTGAAGCCCCTGAAATCGAGTGGGACCCACCAATTGAAAAAGCTGCAGCCCACTTTTGTGTTATTTCTCACTTGCCTGCGACTGTACAAGGCATACTTGCCTTCAATTTGATTGTTGATTTGCTGCTGGCCCACGTTCTTTGCATGTTGGCCCATATAAAACAAATTTGCAAAGTTGATTGTTGATTTGCATGCTGGCCCACGTTCTTTGCAAGGGATCCATATCCAACTTTGGGATGACCATTGTATCTATGAAATAAATGTTGATTTCCAAATTTTGTCCAAATTTTGATTTTTTTTGGTTGAAATGTTCACACAAAAAAAAACTAACATAACATGAATAAACATTAAAGTAAAATAGTTAACAAAAAAAAAAAACCATGTAAATCAAATTACATCATAAAAAAAATATAGAGCCCGCCATGAATATAGAGCCCGCCATTGTGGGAGAGATTCCTTTAGAGCCCCAAAGATTCCATCGGAGCTCTAAATGGGGCTCTATAAACCCTTTTTAGAGCCCCAACCATTGGGGATGGCCTAATGCCCAAGTTAACCGGTGAGTTGTAAAACCCTCTCCTTATCAAATCACTTTCTTGGTCAGAACATTTGGCCCTGCAAGAAAGTGGAAGAAAGAAAACTAATTACAAGGAAATAGAATCCATGGCTGCTGAGGTAGTTGTGTCGGTTGTGATGCAGAAACTCACCAACATGCTGATTCAAGAATCGACGATCTCCGACGAGATGATAGATCAGGCCGAGGGCCTCAGAATAAGATTCAGAGAAATGCAAAAATACTTGAGAGATGCGGAAAGCAAACAAGAAAGCTACGAAGATGTTAGGAAGTGGATGGCAGAGTTTCTGGGCATAGCGTATGATTTGGAGGACTTCGTCGACATTTTTGTCCTCGAAAGAACGCGACGGAGGAGATCGAGCTTCATCGGCTACATTGCGACATTGGAAGGCCTGAAGGCTACTCTGAAACTCTGCAGCGAGATGAAAGAAATAGAAGGCAAAATCTCGGATTATATGTCCAAGTTTAGCCAAATAAACCAGCGCCTTACTCTCCCAATGGACACTGGGCCAATTTTGCGAAAGCAAAATGATCTGCCTGAGGACCTGCCCTCCCACCTGAGGCCTTGCCTTCTGTATCTGGGAATGTTTCCAAAAGAAGTGGACATACCCGTGAGAAGATTGTTTCATCTATGGCTTGCAGAAGGATTTGTGAAACAGTCGCCTGGAATGTCTCCAGAGGATTTGGTGGAGGAATATCTAGCAGAGCTGGTGAGAAGAGAAATGATTCTTGTGTTTAGTTTCAGGTCAGATGGAAGTGCAAAGACATGCCGTATGCCGGAAAAGCTTCGGCATGTCCTTTCACTCAAAGCTGAGGAAATTGGTCTCTTTTATATCCATGGGAAATTAGCTTCTCGTGCATCAGTATCATCAGTCTCAGATCCCCAGTTTGCAGTTCGTCGTGTGGTTGAGCATGCTGACATTAAAGACTACCCAGGTGACTCTGAGTTTTATGTCAAAAATCTGCGCTCTTATATTTCCTTTAACACCCAAAAGAAGGATCTGCAAGCAATCCAAATTGGGAAGTTTGTGAGCAAGATTATTGGTAAAAGAGGATATGCATTACTTAGGGTGCTTGATCTTGAAGGGGTTTATAAACCTCAGTTGCCTGAAGAGCTGGGGTTTCTTTACCACTTGAGGTATCTGGGTTTGAGGTGGACCTTCTCGGATGCTCTTCCTACATCTGTGGGGCACCTAGCCTACCTAGAGACCCTGGATGTCAAGCACACTTATATAAGAACTCTCCCAAGTACCATTTGGAAAATGAAGCTTCTGCGGCATCTATACTTGAATGATATTCGGTTGGACATGTCTGTGCATAGATATAGAACTAATCCTCTGACCCAACTTCAGACATTGTGGGGGTTATTGGTGGACAAGAAGACCCCCGTGAAGGATGGTCTGAACAGGTTGGTTAATCTCAGAAAACTGGGTCTCACATGCCACTCAATCTCCACGGAAGAAATAGGCCAGTGGATCTTAAGACTAACAGGCCTCAGGTCCTTAAAGTTGAGATGTAAGAATGAAATAGGCGAACCTTCATCACTCCATCTACCGTCTTTGGCGAATCTCCAGCACCTCACACATGTTTATTTGCTGGGTAGATTACCAAAGTTAAATGAAAAGTTCGAATTCCCACCTCAACTCAGAGTCCTAACTTTATCAGTCTCAAAACTAGAGGATGATCCTATGCCAAAGCTAGCTCAGCTTAAAAACTTGTCCGTGCTGAGGCTTTTGGCTAATTCTTACACTGGAAAAAAAATGGATTGCCCTGAAGGAGGGTTTGGTTCACTTCGAGTTCTGAGACTATGGATGCTGGAAAATCTAGAGGAATGGGAGGTGGCAGAAGGAGCTATGAAGAACCTCCAAGAATTGGAAATCCGATGCTGCAGTAGCCTTAAAGCAGCTCCAGATAGAGTGCTGAAATCTAGTAACTTTGAAAAATTGAATCTAATAAATATGCCACTGGCATTTGTTGCAGATTGTGAAGCTAAAAAGCAGGAGAAAATAACCATGACCGAGGAAACATGGGAATTCTGAAGGCAATCCTTATTTTCAGAGTGGCACTGGAGAGTTGGGTTTTGAAAAGTAAATGGTTGGCTATAAGTTGTCAGGTTTACCTGATGTTAATCCGAAGTTCATTTGGATTCTGTTCCGTGCTTGTATTTTAGTTCTATGCTCGCAGGAGGAGGAAGATTTTTCATTGCAAATGTAATTAGTGTAGACTTATATGTGCATCGTACCATGTTCTGCACATGCCCATCCTCTGATATGGTACTTGATTGTGATGAGGTCTGTTATTCTAGTTGGTGCTGTTGCTGTTGTTTTTCTTACTAGAACTGTTGATTTAGTTGGTGATGATGCTAATGGTGCTTTTCGCTCTATTTGAAGCTTTTTCCTGATAGTCTGTGTATCATTTGCTATTCTTTTGCCTATTGTTGGATAATATTAGATGCGTTTATCAGAAAATTATAGGTCCGTGTATACCAGTCCATCATAAGTCTCACTGTCATCTATGTACTGTAATCAACCACTACCATAGTAGTATCATACCATGTGACAGATGCTTAGGTTCGGCTGAAGTGCATTTATCAGCATTAACCTGGTAGACATTGAAATAATATATGGATCCGAAATTTTGTTCCGTTTATCAGTGTGTGCTTTCATTTGCAGTCTACTCACTTATGACCTCACTAGATAAGTGATGATCATAAACCTTAGCAATGGTGTCTCTGCCAAAAATCTGCAGTTGACTTACATGTAGTGAATGTAATCTTACATGAAATACAAAAATACCACCAGAAGAAACAGAAACATAAGTTTTAACTGTATGATCTGAACTTCTCCTGGGACTTGAGAGATTAAAGCCTTAAATTGGAACAAGTGTGTACTTTTCTAGGAAAAGTTTATCAAAGTCCTAGTTTACCTGCAGGGGTAAAGGAAACTGAGCCATGTGTTGTCAACTCTGTAGCTGTGCTACCTTAAAATCAGCTTAACCTTAGCATGCCCTGCTATTTGAAATTGTTCTCTAAGTGCATGTACATATATGAATGTGGTAAAATTTATACAGGTAGCCCATTCTGCTGCTTGGCATCCTTGGTATGGCATGAAGAAGTGCTGCAACTGCACTAGCACTAATATTCTTGAACATCTCTTTCAAGTTGTCAGCGGCATGAACAAGTTAATGTGACTGAATATGAGGCTTGGCTTGCAAAGGCAATGGGAGTTCGAAAGCTCAAAATTCAGAGTGATTCATTACTGGTCGTGAACTAGGTAAACTCTTATTATGAAGCAAAAGAACCAAATATGATCTCACACCTACAAAACGTTGAGGTACCAAGTGAGAGGTGAAGGAAACCCATAGATCCCATGTCAAAGGCTTGAAGAAAACCGATGCACTTTTGCTCCTGGTGTCAATGATTGGCACAACCATTACTACACCAGCTTTTGTCTATGTCCACAGACAAGGACCTGTTAAGCAAAACTATGTTAAATTAAGAAACGGAATATGATGCAGTCCAAACTAAAATATATATGAGTGCAATGCCGATCATTTATAGGAATTTCTAGTAAAGGCAGGGCATTTTACCCCAGGATAGACTTGATAGACCAAACTAAAATAATACTTCCACTGACATGGCTAGTGCCAAAATATTGTGCAGCTTCTTGAGTCAAGCAGCTCATCAAGCTCCAGGAAGCAGCGTATGATCACCATTGCCACACTTCTGTATTTGATGGGCATACCTACTACTTTTCCAGGTATCTGTATCAAGTCTATCTTGGGGTAATTCCCAGCTAACCTCAGCCTCAGGGGCCTAACTTTGTCAGTCTCAATGCTTGATGATGATCCCCATGCATGCCAACAACTTAAGCAGCTCCCAAACTTGACCGTTTTGAGGCTTTTGGCTAATTCTTACACTGGAAATAAAATGGTTTGCGAACAAGGTGCATTTGGTTCACTTTCTGAAACTATAGGTGCTGGAACCCTCCAGAAATTGGAAATCAGATGCTGTCGTAAGCATAACCTGAAAAGCATTCCAGCAACACTTCTCAATTCGATGATGTTAGAGGAACCGACTCTAAAAAATATGCCAGAGGAATTTGTTGCACACACTAAAGTATATAAAAGGCAAAAAATGAAAATGAAAATTGTAGCGTTGCTCTGCTTGTGTTGTTTGTGGATCCTACATGATTGTGATAAGGTACTACTTATTCTAGATGTTGCTGCTTTATTTTTCCGGTGAAGGCTGTTGTTGGTTTCTTTTTTTTTTACTTGGAGTTGTTTGTTGCAGTTTCTGCTGTTGAAATCAAATAAGGTGAATCTGAAGTTTTCTTTATTTCTCATATTGTTTGGTATACATTCTAACCACTTATGACCCCAATGGTTGAAACTCGTGGTCACAAACCTGACCAAATTAAGTACATATCAAGCTTCTACATCTCCGCTCGAATTTCGCATTTCATGTAAAACTGAGAAGTGATGCAAAATCTTACATGAAACAAACCTTTCAGAAGGAACATAGACAAAAGTTTTAACTTCATGATATGCATTTCCTCTTTTCAAACAAGAGGGACACGAAATAGAAATACGAGTCTCTCTTGCTTTATTTTATTAATGAAAAAAAAAAAAAAAAAGTCAATCATATCAATCCTCTGCATCACAGATTAATTCTGCACCCTTCAAACAATGGTCAGTGTAAATTTAGCTGAAGAAACGAAAGAAAGTGAAGTTATTGTTGTGCAGCAGAAAGAGTCCTTAAAACAAGTAGTCTGCTGCAGGAAGCAAATGGAGCTAACCACCACAAGAGTTTTTTAGGTTCTTCTAAACACAACAACCCACCTGATGAGATGAAAAGCTTAAAATAGTCTAAATCCAGCTGTGCCTCAACCCATTGAATTTTAAAGTAGAATTCTTGCAAGCCAGGTTAGGTTTGCAATGTCTTATTCTAATCAGGATAACGGAACTGAGAATCAGAGAGGGATGGGTTTAGTACAATGTAATCAAATTCATGATAACAACATACACTCTCTCCATGATGAAATAACAAATACAATGGGGGAAATAATAAAAAATGACATGATTATAAAGAAAATTCCACAAGAAAAAACACAATTGCATTCTTTTTGGTGATAGAACTGATCATATGCTTCCCCAACAACTTCTATTCTATGCCTTCCTATTCCCCTTCTCCCAACATTTGGCCCACAGATCATTCCTAAGCACATCCACAACAGCATACTGGCCGGAGCTAAGCCAAGGCTTCACCGGAGCCCACCGTGCGTCGCACACATACTCCCGGACTTAATTGGCCAATGCCCGTTAGCCATGTACACCACGGTTCGCACCGTACCATGTGACCGACCACATGTGATCACCACTCATTCTTTTTCTTTGTGTGCATTCTCAAAAATATTTACACATCCAATTTAATAGACTCCCCAAGGCCCCATCTAAGAACAATTCCATTTGTTAACTCAATGCGCTAAACCCACCTCCCTTCATCATTTGCTTGAACTCCTTGTAGTTGACCCTTCCATCTCCATCCACATCCACCTTCATGATCATCCTCTTGCAGTCCTCTATAGTCCTCCCTTGCTTAAGCCCGAGCGAGGACAAAACCGACCTCAACTCATCAACGGTGATGAACCCATCTCCGTTTTGATCAAACACATTAAACGCCTCCTTCATGTCTTCGTCCTCATCACGCTCGTCCATGATAGACTGGTACAACTCTCCAAACTCATCAATGTCGACGCACCCGTCCCCGTTTACATCGATCTTTTGGATCATGTTGAAGAGCTCCTTATCCGGGATAAAGATGCCCAAGTTCTCCAAAGAGTCATTCAACTCCTGCTTGGTGATCCGGCCGTCCCCATTGCGATCAAACATTTGAAACACACGTTTTAGCTCATTGGGGTCCATTCGAATAACTTTATGAGCACCACAGGACGAAGATGAAGATGAAGATGGTGGAAAATGGGGTAATGGTGTACTGGTAGCAACAAGATTGGTTTGGCAAGGGAACCAAGAAGAAGGGAGGAGAGGCCTTAGATTCTTGGGGACCAAAGAGAGGAGGAAAGTATTAAGAAGGTTGTAAATAAGGAAAATCCTTGGGAAAATGGTTGGCATTGGGAGAGTTTGTTGTATGGTGGGTGTTGCTTTGCCTAATACAAATAGTGGGGTTGAGAAATTCTTGGAGACAAAATTGGCTTCTTAACGAAGGAGGTTATTGGATGCATGTTACCAAAGTTTGGAGTGCACATTGGCCTTTTTAGAGAGCTGTCCTTGTGACACTTTTTTTTTAACGCGTATTTTGGGAAATATTTATTTATTATTAATTAATTTACAGTTTTCAAAACGCGTTGTTATAATTGTTGTTTGGTGTGTGTGACTTGGAGTGTATTTGATGCTAGCTCTCTTTTGAATTTTTAAAAAGAAAAATGTGAACGTTGATAACGGATCTATGATTAAAATTGTGAAAAAGACGTTGGTGCAGACCAAAAAGAAGAAAAAAGAAAGACGTTGGGGACTGGGATTACTGAGGCCGGCAGATAAATGACCGTTGGATTTACTCAACGACTACTTCCGTGAGCTTGTCGGTATGGGGACAGGTGGAGCAATTTTAGGTGTTGCTTATTTTGCACTCTGGCCGTCGGTGAGATTTACATTTTTGTTATTTTTATTTTTTAATACAAGTAATAGTCTAAATACAATTAAGATGTCATGAGGATGTGAACCTGAGACTTTTAGTCTGCAAGTCAACGTCATTTTCCACTGGGCTAGAACCTATTTGCCATTTATGTTATTTTTAGAGTGCTACTATTTCCATCCACTTGTTTTATTTTCCCACCCACCTTATTTTCAAAATTTTAAAGACAAATTTACTCCTTTGTAAAATGACTTATAAGGACAACTCTTTCAATCTCTCTCACACGCACACATATGAGGACAACTCTTTCAATCTCTCTCACACACACCCACACCCATATTTTCATTTTCATTTTCATTTTGTTTGAAATCCACACCCATCTTCATACCCAACCCACCAAACAAAACGAAGTCAACATCTTTATCTCCCTGTGTTATTTAGAAATTAGGAACCAGAAGAAAACCTAAACTTACAAACTCATAACCCCAATTTTATTTTCAGTCACACATAATCCAATCGTTTTTCTTTCTTCTCTAACTCTAAAGCTCAAGTAGTCCCATAATTACATCGACTTTGAGCTTTTGGGCAACTCTAAAACTGACAGAAACCCATGGTCATTTCCTTTTCTTCCTTTGTCTCTTTCTTTCCTTTTAATTTCAAACTCAAACAACACCTCTCTTGCAGTCTTTGAAATTAAAAATAAAATAAAGCAAATGTGTTTTCATTTTTTGGAACAGATAAAGTAATCAATGTGAGTTTTTTTTTGTGGGTGATAGGAAGGGGAGTGTTTTTTTCGTTGGCAGTAGAAGGAGAGTTTTTTTTTTTGGTTGAAGGAGAGTTAAATGTTTGTAAGGTCATGGTGTTGGCTGTTAGGTTTTTGCCAGAGGAGCAGGTTGGGGTGGGGGGAGGGGGAGGAGAGGGCGATTGGGATGGGTATAGGCTAATTGAAGAATTTATTTATTTATTTTTATTTTATTGTAATAGCAAATATGGAAATACAATTAAAGGGTATTTTAGGAATAATGGTGGGTGGAAAGATAAGTTTATGTTTATTCAAATTTATATGGTGGGTGGGAAGATAAGGTGGGTGGGGAAATAGGACATGGGGGTGGAAATAGCAGCACTCTATTTTTATTTTTCGGTGGCATTGTTCGTTGGCGTTTAGGGGTGAGTTTAATTTTCTTTTTATTTTATTGTTATTAGTTTTAGGGCTCTCTTGTCACTTGGTATGAGTTGGTATGAGTGATGCTCATATCTGTGTACTTCATTATTTCTATATTACTAATTTTTCAATTCAATCATTGTCCTAGAATTGTCAGTCGAAAATTTCTTATTTTCTCTAAATCTAGTTCTATTTGGTGGTGGGTTTTTTTATGATGTTAACTTAGGTGGTGGTAGTAGCACTCTTTAGGCTTATTGTTTGTCTTGGGTTTTATGGGTTTGTATTGAGTTGAAATTTCTTGTTATTGCCCCTCATTAGAAATTTAGAGTTTCCTTAAAGCATCAACAATGAGCTTTCTAAACCACCTTCTTAGATAAATTTTAGGGAGGATTTGAAAAAATACAACTCCAACCATGCTCCCTATTCACCTCCTAAAATATGGAGACCTTTAGGAGTTCCTAAATCTAAGGAGAAATAAAGGACTCCTAATGACTCCTTATAATATATATATATATATATATATATATATATAATTTAATCAAACGCTCGCTTGATGGAGATGCTCTTAATTTGAGTAGTTACAATAGATGACATGCAAATAACATCAATTAGTATATTAGTTGGTAATACTCCAACTTTGATTACTCACCCTCAATACATAATAATATTTTAATAATACTTTTTAATATTCGTAAGAAATTTGTAATTTAAGTGGTTTAGAGCAATACACGAGAGTAGCTAGTTGGTTATAACTACTTCGCTTCACCAAAGAATTTCAAGATCTAAGTCAGGTATCTGCAAGTCGTTTTGTGAGCAGTGAATTTCAATTTGAGAGATCAAACGGCTACATTTTGACTTAACTCTGCATGGCTGTACTATATACAATATGTGCTGACATTTTGTGCAACTTGCGATTAGACAACCTATTCTTATATTACAACTTTAGCAGGTCCTAATATTCGAACATGAATAATCATAGGTTGACCAAGCCACTAAGATGCTGTCGTTTTATCTAAAATAACATGCATTATATATATATAATATACAATGAGTTTTTGTTGAGGGACACCCTTATAGGGCTCCCTATATATTGTATTTCATTAATCCAAACCGTCTATTTGGTTGATATTCATTTGAAGATCATCTCTGCAAAAAATACTTGAATCTAATATCATTTGACCATTCAATTAAATTATTGAAATTTTAGTACTTTGTACAATGTTCATTGATTTTGTAAGACACAATTAGATGTCTAAACGGTTTCCGATTTGTCTAATTTTTTTCAAGGATAATTTATGAATGAAAACTTAAAAAATAGATGATTTGAATCGTTGGAAAAAAATTCGTAAGGTACCCTAAAGGGCATTCCTCAAATTTATTTGAGAGATTCCTCAAAAGGAGACTTTATATATTTTCCTATATGGACTTTCAGACATTATTACTATGCAGACGCCGTGTATTTTTTACAACCCCTCTATATTTTTCTCAACTTAAAAAATAGATGATTTGAATCGTTGGAAAAAAATTCGTAGGGTACCCTAAAGGGCATTCCTCAAATTTATTTGAGAGATTCCTCAAAAGAATGAGACTTTATATATTTTCCTATATGGACTTTCAGACATTATTACTATGCAGACGCCGTGTATTTTTTACTACCCCTCTATATTTTCCTTTATATTTACAATGACATCAACACGGTAATATGAGAACATGAGTTCCACAAGCAGAGACACTTAAAGTTTTTGTTGATCCCATTTTTGTCACAACTGGCAAAACAATTTAAACATGCATCTGTCTCTATCTGTCCATGAGCTGTTTTCTTCTCTCAATTGGATTTCAAATTTACAACTGCACTAATTAATTAGCCTTAAATCACGCCCGTGCAAGCGCCGCGCACACCAAAAGCACACTCTCCTAATAGCAGATGTCAACTGAGCCAGCTAGCCTACATCCCTCTCAATTATATCTTCGCGGCTTTTCTTTCTTTTTGTTGTTTACAAATAATAAGCAGTTATCTAATTTTCTGTGACAGTTTGCACATAATAATAATAATAATAATGTGTGATTGACTTGAGATAGCATTACTTTGGCGTTTTAAGTAAGTTTTCTTATGTATCAGAATTTTTTCTGTACTTTTGAAAGGTCATATGTGTGTTGTTTTTTGTCACCACATATTCTAGTCACTTACTAATCAATTCTAAGCATCATTACCATCAATGTGGCTGAATGCTTGGCGTTAAGGGATGGTCTTGCTCTTGCCCTTAATCGCGGGTGGCGTAAAATCATTGTCGAAGGGGATTCCAAGCTTATCATTGATAGTGTGCTTAAGAAGGTTTCGATTCCATGGAGTATTCAACAAATTGTACAGGATATTTGGTAGCTGAGTTCCTTGGGTGATTCTATTTACTTTTATCATGTTTTTAGGGAGGCTAATTTCACTACAGATGTTGTAGCTAATATGGATCATGGCCTCTCAACTTCTATTGTTTGGGAGAATGGGTTTCCACTCTATGTTGTACCTCCCTTCTATTTTGACCTATTTAGGCTTCCTTACCCTAGAGATTTTGTTTTGTAATTTTTCGTTTCTTTATAAATAAATAAAAAAGGTATAGTTGTGTGCGTCCCAACACAGGGTTCCAATACGTCTATTCTTTATCATCAAGTGGCATATTTTAACACAACCATTGCTTTTCAAGTAGGCAACATTGCCTACTTGGAGAAATATACAAAATTTACCTAATTGAATTGAATGCCGACGACCTTGAAGTTTTGCCTACTACTTTGTCTTTTCCTTTGGAAATGTTTTAATTTAACCCGACTCATTAAGTATGTGTCGAATAAGTTAACCATAACACAACTTGTTTGTTATCCTCGTTGGGCACCCATAAAAATTAAATAATAAATTACTTTTATTTTAACATAAAAGTTAAAACTATGCATTGGCACTCAAGAAAGTTACCATGCATGTACTCATTGAAATGCAATCAAATCCTTACATTTTTATGAAAGAGTAGTTTGTGATTATTTTTTTGGAGTGGGAATAACATTTATCTAAAATTTTAAAAACCCGCTTCATCTCGATAGTAACAAAATCATTAAAGAAAATCATTGAAAATAAATTATACAAGGGCTCATAAAGTACATAATAACATTAAATGAAAAATTAGACATTTATTTTTCATATAATAGAACTAGGTTTTTTTTTCGGGGGGGTTAAAGTAATAGAACTAGTTATATGCGTTTCTGGAAATGAAAATGCTACACGTCATATATTTTCATAGGGCAAAATCATTCTACATACCGAAAAAATAAAATAAAACCAAACCGTATTACAGGATGCTGGTTGATAAACATCTTCAATGACATGCTTCTACTGGGACCATAAATACTAAAACTGAGTACACAATTCATTGCCATCATGTTCAACAAAAACATTTCAGATCGATGGCAATCAAGTTAAGTCTGGTGTTCAGCCAAAAGCTGCAATGAGGAAAGCCTTATAGATGCTCATGAACTTGGCCACGAACGCTGTAAAAAGAATCATTGCAAGAAACTCCATTAGAGAGCAGTGACCATCTTAAAAGGCAACTTCGAGCACAAGCCCCAAAAGCATAGAAAAATGATCTTTCTAAACTACCTTGACTTTGACGATTTTAATCAAAAAGGGAGTCTGATATTAAATTTGCGTGTTACTAATGCCATTATTATACGGTAGTTTCTCTTGTGGATTGCCTATACCTAAATGGCTAAGCAAGCAAATGGCTAGCAAAATTTTGGGTACATGTACAGATAACGAAAAGCCTGTTTGGTAGTATTTGTGTTGTTTTGTTTTCTGTTTAACTAAGGAGAGAGAAAAAAGGATGTGATGAGAAACATGAAAGGCACGAGAGATATGAAGAAGAAAAACAGGAGGAACAATAGATAAACTTGTTTAAATAAAAAGTAAAAAGAAATAATAATTACTCGGTTCTTGTTTATCTATTATTCGTTCTCTCCTCTCACATATCTTCTTCATTCTTTCTTCTAATATTCTCTTCCCTTTTTATTCTAATTTATAATTTTTTTTTTAAACCAAACAAAAACAAAATCAAACAAGCTATAAAAGTACCCAACATTACTAAGTGCTGCCTGATCTACAATATCTACCATACATGTACATAAGATAGCCGAAACCTTATGGAATGAGTTGTTGCTTTCGCCATGTGAAGGTTTATAATACTAGTCAAGGTTTCCTAATACTACTACTCATCATTATCTCACACAGCATCTGGATAGATAAAAGTACCTTCGAGGTGAAATATGGCTTTCTGCCCAAGACGCATCCTGTGTTCCTGTGAACAAAAAGGAAACTGCAATGTAAAGATACTTGAATAGTAGATTAGATACATCAAATCCCAATTTTGCTACGCTATTCCAAAGCTGAACTGCAAGCAACACTACTCTGCCAACAATAAACCTGCGAGTCTGCCATTCAAGTTAATGCCTTCATTGTATTTAGAGGACAAAAGAGGATGTTGCAATATCCCTGGTGTACTGTGTAACTCACCAACCTCAATCTCTTTATGCAATTTGTTCAATAAACTGTGGTTTCTGGGAGAAAGATATATAACACGACCACAACTTAGCTCCAAGTACAATCTAATGACATCAGAATTTATGACCAGATTACTTCCACCAATTCTACTGCCTTATAATAGAATCAACCATAAATACCTCGACTGCATTTTTGTATCATCATTTACCAACATATGTAAAGCAGGTGGGTGATATCTAAAACTTGAAGGGAAATCACTATTAAGACATAGTCATATGAAATGATAGGCATAGGGAATATGATTGACATGTATGCTAATGATAATTTTTTAGCCATGGCATGCTAATGATTCTTATTTGCAGCACAAGAGACTGCAAGCTCACAAGAATCAGAGATCGTAAGAGAGAAAAAATATGCAACCTGATCTAACCGCATTGTGCAAAAGGAACTACTGTAGGAATCAAGACTGCTAACATGGAAAATGATTATACACTTACGTAGTATGCAGCCCAATGGCAGACCTCATGCTTCAACTCGGCATCCAATTTCTTCAATAATTCAAAAAGCAGCCTCTGAGACAACAGAAAATATAAGGTTCAAATGGGAAAAAATTGAAGAAAACAAAAATAAAGGGGAACTCTTGAGAATTAGTCTGCAGGAATACAATTAAGAAGTAGTTCATACAACTTTTTCCACACTTGATAAAGCCTAAAACAAATAAGGTTGGGCAAAAAATTGTAGAACACAATAATAAGGGAAAATATTTGTACCTTCAAGATGATCTCCGGAGAAATACAATTAAGAAGTAGCTCATACAACTTTTGCCGCACCTGGTAAAGCCTTAAGCAAAATGAACAATGTTTGATTAGAAAGTAAAAAGAAATACTAGAAGATTGAAAATAAGAAGCCAGGAATCATCCATCTTGCGGCATTATCGTAAATATGGTTACAAAAATATAAGAAAAAACGTCAGACTTTAGACATCACATAAATTGAATAGCGAATCTTCTACCACAATAACAATATGGAATTTGTCAAATCCTTTCATGTAATATAATCGCATTACAGTCAACAAGGGCCTGCTGGTCCCTATTTTCATGCAACTACTGAGCTAGCTGGGAGGATTATGATAAACTGTGTACTCTAATCCAATTATTTCAAAAGTTACAAAAATGTGGCACTTAATAAAAGAAGGGTATGTTCTTACAAACACATTCTATTTTATGCTAGATAGTAGCAAACATACTGCCATGAATTTCACAGGGCTTGATCATCTTTTCTCTTATAAGTTATTCCTTTTTTATACTTCTATATTTTTAATTTTGTACGCTGTTTTTGTGAGCATGACCTTACTTTCTTAATATACAACATTTTCACATCTTGTAGATGACCCAAAAGAAATTGAAATACAGTGGGAGATTAGACACAAAACTGGACAGGTGAATGAGTATGTTTTCCAAGATTAATCCAACTTCTGGATGCATTATAATTATGCCACATCAGGCTATGTGGTTTTATTCTGCTTCAATTCCAGAAAGAGAAACCACAACTTACATGATCAAGATACCACAAAGGCAAGGGATATGTGACAAAATAAAATATTTTATGGATAAAAGGAGGAGTACTACAAGCATAATGCACCAAAAGTGGGTACAGTAACATGGAAAGAAGAATGTTAATCACAAAGTATAACATCAGCAAGCAGTAAAGAATAATAAAGTAATACTTTGTGAATTTGGCAAAGGGGCAAATAAAAACTCCAAACAGGCAGATAAAAAATCCAAGAAATGCAGCCAACCACAATAGTTTTTCTTCTTTTGGTTGACGAACGAACCAAAATATTGAAAATGTGAGTGAATTTGGCTATCAGCATACTAATTAAGGAAATATCCACCTATGGTGGAAAAGGGAGAATTCTTGTTGTTAAAGACCCAACCAATAGAAAGAAGTTTATTTAGATATATTGTCAAATAAAAATGACAAATGAAAATTGAAAAAGAAAAATGATTGTAGACCAGCTTCCACAAGAAAAATAGGTCTGCCTATGGCCTTCAACAATTTAGGGTGTTTTCTTGAGTTCCATTAATAATTGAACCAGAAAACTTTCAAACTACAGAAACAAATGCTGGAATAGAGTCCAAAACTTAAGGATGAAGAAAGTCCAACCTTTTTGGGCTCTGCTCCTTCATTATATCAGATGCAATTTCAGAAACATATTCCTCCCAGTCCATTGGGGGTATTGCTTGATTACTTGTAAAGGGATACCTACAACCACATCAGTGGTTCACAGAAAGACCATAGCTATCAGGACCTCTTCTGTCTGCATGATGCACAGAAGAAAATGAAGGAAGAACTGTTTCATGCATCTGATGACCAATAAGAACTATGGCACTTAACTGTTGAACACGACAAGTTTCGAATGACAATATAGCTCTCCTTAAGCTCCTATTTGATTTTTCAGCTATACGAGCAGGAAATCCAGAAGGAAGTTGCAGCCCTTCCTTCTTTCCAATGAACTCCAATACCTTAACAATCTGCCACAAGAAAATTTCAGATGAAATCATTGCACGAGGCATAATTTACAATGGAAGTGAACATATTTTATAATTTTTATTTCCCACAACCAATTCTAAAAATTGCAAGCCAGAAAATTCAACCTGTTCTTCTGTTGGCGCATTTATTCGCACATTTAGACACCGGGACCGGATTGCTTCAGTAACCTTTGAAGAACTGTTACAGCATAGTATTAGCCGGCAATAAGCACTATACTTCTCCATAGTTCTTCGAAGAGAATGCTGAGCTTCTCTAGAAAGTTTGTCGACTTCATTCAGCACTAAGACTGACATTGTTAAAAGGATGTGGTATCAGCAAATAAATCTTAAAGACTGAAACACCTAACTACTTGATCATCCAACTGCATTTTTTTCCATTTAATTATTGTTTTAGCATGGGGCGCGAGAGAGAAAAAAAAATCCTATCTTGCAGAACTGTGAAAAGGATGATAAACAACATAAATAACCATAAGATAAACAAGCAATTCATTCAACTGAAGAAAACCAGCTGCCTACGTTAAAGTGAAGGTACCAAAGAAATACTTGTAAGCATATTCATTGGATAAGTGTATATTCATTAAAGATAAGCAAGTAAACTTATTTAAACTTACTTTTATATCCCTTTCTCCCTTTTGTGTCAATGGGTCTATTTTTAGCCATTTCTTTAATTATCTCTTGAACAATATATCTGTCCTGAAAGCCTGCATCACTGGGGTTCAGTTCAATATGGTTTGTGCTTGATAACGTAGTCAGCTCTATATCAATGGTTCTACTTCCAGCCTGAAAATAAACCATAGGAAAATTCTAGTTCAAATGGAACACAAGAAAATAAAATCAAAGGAAATTCATGGAACCAATGGTTTTAAGTTGAACAAGGAGATATTAGAAGAAAAAAGAATCTTTCATAAACATAAATAATTGTTCTATAAGTTAAAAAGGCCAAAATGTCTTGAAATAAAGTGAGCATTAAAATAAAAACCAATTCGGGGGTTTTTGAAAAAGTTAAGAAAATGAATCAGACAGAGGGTAAAGTTGAATTTGCATTAAAAAACAATTAATCAGATGTGTAATGATTTAGAAACGTAATGCTTTAGCATGTTCTATAAATTGGCTAAACATCAACAGTAATTACCAATACGTCGGAAATCAACACAGCATCACCTAAATGACATATAAACAACAATTTCTATAGCTGCATCCATGATTAATCGCATCAATACAAAAGTGGATGAAACTTACATCAACTTTCCATGTCCTATTTTCCACCTTCACCTGCCAACCACAATCACAAGAATTTCTCATAAGTCATCACAATGTACAAAATTTCAAATGCCAGGCTGAGGGGATTCTTGTGAAAAAAAATACAGAAAATATCACAATTCCTACATTAAATGCTAGTTTAATTAGTTCGAGACATTTGCATATGCTCTGGCTTTTTTAGATGCAAGGAGCCATTCCAATCCTTACAAGCTAACCACAATTTGCATGTTTTGACTTATATAAAATAAAATAAAATGCACACTAGTCAAATTGTTCTAGACTTGTCAGGAGATGCCACCGTACAGGTAAAGAGCTAAGCATTTTTCCTTTTAGTTTTTTTTAAGGTTCTATTAGTTCATTTTTTTATACCAAAACAAACTGCATAAAGGTGAAAAAGAAGACACAAAAGAAAAGATTTTGTTCTCTTCTCGCTTCCTTCAAACATCTTTTCAGTAGCGGAACAAAGGACCAGAGTCAAAATACACACAGATAAATAATTTGAACCCCAAAAAATATTAAAATAAAAAGAAAAAGTGTGAGAAAAGTGAGACCTTATCGGCGCTGGGACCGAAAATCTGTCGAAGAAGAGCGATGATTAGGGTTTTCTTGCCAGAGCCAGAAGGGCCGTAAAAGAGCAAATGGGGGCAATCCTGCTCTGCAACCTGCACAAGAAGATATTAGGGATTTGAAATCCGAGAAATTGGCAAATGAAATCCACGAGAGAGGGTAGAGTTGTACGAGTTTCTTGAGGTTTTGAGCGATGTCTTGGTGGACCATCGCCTGGTCTAGGGTTTTGGGTCTGTACTTGTCCACCCACAGCATCTTCTTCAATCTTCACTGTCTGGGTCGCGCAGAGAAGTCAGGCCAAAGCAAAAATCTATGAAACAAGCAGTGGGCAATAGTGGCGCGAAATTGCAGTCTCTGCAGGTTAATCGCTCAACTCCTACAAGAGCCGTTGGATTAATCCAATGGCGCATACAATTATTAGCTTAAAATCTCACCATATTTGGAAAGCGTGCAGCTACTTTCTACCTCTCTCTTATTTCCCTACTTACCTTATCTTTAAAATACTTCTAAGGACTTGGGAAAAAAACATAAACTCAAATTTATTTCATGTTCAATAGTTCAATTATTTTCGTTTTTTTCTTGGGTCTGCAAGGTGTTGTTTCTAGGGAAATAGCCTTCTATGCCACCCTTTTCATAATTTTAACTAAAAATACCACCCCTTCCCAATTTTTTTACAACTATTACCTATAAATATAAAATTATTCTCCACTTATTGCTGATTTTTCCCAAGTTCAGAAATTTTGTTGTCTCTTAGGTCACTCAGCTCTCTCTCTCTCTCTAGCACAGCTCTCTTTCTCTTTGGTTTCTGTCTAACGCAGCTCTCTGTGTCTCTCTTGGCTCTCTTTCTCTCGAGCGCAACTCTCTGTCTCTCTCTTTGCTCTCTTTCTCATAGAGCAACTCTTTCTCTCTCTAGCTTCGTTATGTCTCTTTCTCCCCCTATTTGGTCTCTTGCTCTCTGTTTGGAATCGCGAACCCCTCCCTTTAGGTATGTCTCTGAATAGCTGCTTGCAACCTTGAAGCTCTAGTGGATTGCCGACCTCGAAAAGGTAGTGTTGATGGTTATTTTTTTTAATATCAGTGGGATTATGTGAAATGGATTATATTTTGATTGTTTGGGTTTGTGTTAAATTCGTTTTGGCTTTAATTGCTTTGGGTTAGGTTTTGTTGAATATTCATGCTCATTCATCTGGGTTTGTACCAATTGCACTTAGATTGGTCTGGATATGTGAATCTTGAAACTTGGGATTTTCCATTTGATGTAGTAGATCTGTATAGTGTGATTGTTGATGTGTTACTGGTGTACTGCTGTTGTGTTCCTCTTATTTTACTGTCGTATTACTGTTATGTTGATGTTATATTGCCATTATATTGCTTTTATATTGCAGTTATATTGCCATTGTATTGTATGGTTATTGTGGTTATATTGTGTTATGAAATGTTGTTTTGTCATGGTCAGAAATGGAGACAATTGTTATTCTCGTGTGCTACAATGGGAAATGGGTCACCTCGAAGAAGATGTGCAAATACGAAGGGGGTGAGTCAAAAGGCTTAATAGTTCCACGGACCATCAAATTTGCTGAACTGTTGGACCGTGTGCATCAGATTGGTAATACAAACAGCAGGGAAGACAAGGTTTGCTTAAAATTCTCAGTTTTGATGGCCTCGAATGAGTGGAAGCACATAAAGATTGAGGACGATGATGATGTCAATTTTTTTATTAAGTACAATTCTGAGGTAACACTTTCAAAACTAGCTCCCTTACTCGTGAGTATAGAAGATAAAGGACTGACAAATGATGTAGTTGATAGTATGCATATCACGACAGATAGTAGTCGGATGGGTCGTTCTTCAGTTGCCATTGTTGAAAGCAATGAAGTAACTTGGAATAATACAAATGGCACAGATGTGGGAGGTGAAGTAGGGACAGATTTTATGGATATGATTGATTTTAGCGAGGTGGATGAGATGCATGGTGGTGATAATGGTACTAAAAGAAATGAAGTGTCAGTGTACTCTGCCCCTCCTATTTTGGGTTGCTTGAACACATCTGCCCAACTGCCAATAATGCTTTTAGGAGGAGAATCTGAACCCATTCGTGAACATTATTGGAATCAAATAGGTGAACAGAACCGGTACAATGAAGCCGATGTAAATGATGGAGAAGCATATTTGGATAGGGGGTTTTCGCGAAGTGATTGGAATCCGAAAATTATAGTTGGGCAAATTTTCTCTATTAAGAAAGCATTGTTGACGGAGTTACAGTTGACGGCATTAAGAGGCCACTTTGAATTTAAGGTGCAATTGTCTTACACTAAGAGGTTGCTTGTGGTTTGTTGTCAAAGTCCATGCCCATGGCGAGTCCGAGCATCGAGATTTGGAGAATACAGCTTCATGATTGTGAGGTGTACAACTGTCCATGAATGTGATTTGAGGTTTGTAAGTGACAACCATCGTCAAGCAACTGCAGCACTTGTAGCCACTTCATTTAAAAGGAAGTTTAAGGATTCTCGAACAATATACACACCAAGTGACATTATGAGAGATGTGAAACACAACTTTGGTTTTAGCATCCATTATTCGAAAGCTTGGAAAGAAAGGGAGTTAGCTCTATTGTCCATTAGAGGATCAGCGGAGGAGGCATATTATATCATTCCAACTTATTGCTATGAATTGGAGCGTATAAATCCCGGCACAAAAACACACATCCAAACTGATGAGAACAATCACTTTGTGTATTTATTTATGGCGGTTGGCGCATGTATTAGAGGGTTTCGTTCTTCCATACGCCCAGTGATAGCCGTGGATGCCACTCATTTAAAATCCAAGTACAAGTGTGTTATGTTTGTAGCAAATGCATTCGATGGTAATCGAAATATATATCCTCTTGCTTTTGGGATCGGGGATTTGGAGACGGATGCATCATGGCACTGGTTTTTCACTAAACTTCATAAAGCCATCGGTGAGTGTCCCAATCTTGTTATTATTTCTGAGCGCAATGTTAGCATAGAGAATGTGTGGAACAAAGTTTTTCCAACTGCGCAACATGGCATATGCTTTTATCATATGAAGGGAACATGAAACGCACTTGCAAGTTGAAAATGCGTGATCAAATACTTATGTACTTTGAGAAGGCTGCGAAATCCTATTCCATTGCTGAATTTGATTGTCATTTTCGCAAGATCAAGCGAAAGGAACATGTTGCTCAATATCTTGAAGAGGTAGGGTTACATAACTGGTCTAGAGCTCACATGGATGGACGCCGCTACAATGTAATGACAACAAATATTGCGGAGTCAATCAACTCAGTCCTTAGGTTTGCAAGGATGATGCCAGTGGTTCATTTGATAGGGGAAATTATTAATCTCCTTGTGAAATGGTTCACCGAACGTCATGAGTTGGCTTTGAATTGCACAACAACATTGTGCCCCAATTTTGGAGAGAAGAAGTTGAGGAACAGGTTGGAGGATGCTGCAAGGATGAATGTGGTTAAAGTAAATAATGCACAATTTAATGTTTTGGACGGTTATATGGACGGGCTCGTACTCGTAGATTTGACGAACAACAGTTGTAGTTGTAGAAAGTTTCAGCTTGAGCAGCTACCTTGCAAGCATGTAGTTGCAGTTTGCCGCTTCTTGAAAGTAAATGTATACTCAAAGGCTTCTCGGTATTACACTCGGAAAACTTGGATGGATGCTTATTCGGATAGCATCTACCCGATACAGCCTCATGGAATGTGGGATATTCCTGAAGATGTTTGAAGTTAAGTTGTGCTGCCTCCCATGGCAAGGGTCATGCCAGGCAGACGAAAGAAGATAAGAATTCCCTCGCACGGAGAGGGCACCATTAGAAGAAAGTGCTCAAGGTGTGGTTCCGCATGCCACAATAAAAGCACCTATAAAAACAATATTCCATGGCGCAATGTATCTTAGACAATATGATTTGTGTTGCTTTGGTAGGTCATGTAAACTTTACTTTTATTTGTGGTGGGTTTCGTGTTATGTTGAATGGGAATTCTTTTAAATTTGCATAATTTGGGTTGCATTGCTACAGTATGCTGTATTGCTTCCAGATTGCTATTATAATTTGAGTGCGAAATTAAAGGGCCTGGAATGTAATTCCAAATGGATCCAAAACATTAAAGTTCTTAGAATTCCTTTATTACACAGTTACCGTGATACTCCGACTAAACCTTCTTTTTTTATTACAAATTCGGCCGATTCATAGGCCAGATGTGGGGCAAATACAAGGTGAAATGTCCTATGTGTTTGACTACATATAGTTGTTGAAGGAGTATTACGAATGTTAACCCCAATAGATTGCTCATGTCTTGCCAAGAACACTCTTGAATTTATGCAATGTGCCCAAGCGAGTCCCAAAGCTGGACTCACCCGTCTGCCTGATGTGTCCAGGGACTCCAAGTTTCCCAACCTCACCCCATTCACTCCATCATGTGGCCCAATAAAATCCACCACTTTATTGGTGACAACCACCGCCAACCCAAACTTATTTGCTAAACCCTTCAATGTCCCAGATATGTTGAAGAACATTTTAGACTGCCGTTTCAAATTTGCCGGTGTTGTCTGATACTGTGATTGGAACAATGCAACAATGGAATCAATGACAATGAGTTTCACAAGTAGGCGGGTGTGATCAATGGCAATAAATGCTTCTATGTCTCCAAGGACATGGATGAGTTGTTGAGCTTCATGAACACCACGACCATATATGTCTTCCAATGGCTCCAACCTTATTAAGTTGGGGTATGATGCATGATAAAGGTTGCCTAGTTGTTGCAATCGACGAAATGAGAAGCTAAATTCTGTGAATATGTAGACGGAGGAGCCCCCTAGTCCGCCATGTGAGGGTGGGAGCTGAGCTCGTACCGTAAGTTGGAGACAAAGCTGCGTCTTCCTGGAACCACTCTCCCCCACCAATTCTGTTATGGAGTTGCAGGGCATCCCACCCCCCAAGCAGTGATCTAGTATTGGGCATCCAATGGATAATTTAGGGGTTGAAAGAGGAAGGAGCATGAGGTTTTGGGGTGTCATGTTTCTGTAATTTAGGGGGGGATGTGATGGTGCTACAAGGCATGCATTATATATATCCTCTTCATTTTGAAGGTCTGTAATGTAGGCCAT